GAATTCAACAAAGTTGCCAAATGTGGTGGAGTGTTCAACTAACCCAGCCCTGGCCGACATGCTAGATTGTTTAAGGTGAAAAGAATTTAAAGGTTCATCTCATTAACACCTGATTCAACAATTTATCCAGCAAATCCAACACAACTCAAACCGTTTTCAAATGGATCTAATAAAGTTGTATCGAACAATTCGGAGCAGGGCTGGTAGATTCTGAATATACTGTACAGGGATATAAAAAATAGTTCCTTTTTTATTAAATGCGTCAACTCAAGGGCCGGGGCATCTGACTCAGATAGAAACAAGCGCATATCTCCTTCCATAAACAGAATGGCAAAACAACTACATCGCCATTGTAAAACAAAAAAAAAAAACATACCCCTAGATGACTAATTTGAGGCACTTGAAGAGGCAAGTGTGTCTATCGACTGATTAATCTCTCCCATTTGATCTTTAATTTCTTTTGGTTCGTGACGAACTGCTGCTTCTAACAGGTCTGTTGCGCCACTTGAAGAGGCGAGTGTGTCTATAGACTGATTCATTTCTTCCAGTTGATCTTTAATTTCTTTTGTTTCTTGACGAACTGCTGCATTTATGGGGTCTGTTCCTTCATGTCTTGTTGTTTTAAGATCTTCTCTCATGCTTTTAGATTTCTCTTGAGCTGCTGCTGCCTGAGTGTAAAATGAAAGTGTCAAGGGGAAATCCAAAAACAAAAAGAGAGAAAAAAAAGATGTATTTAAACCCCTCTGTACGGATTATAAAATGCGCGATTATTTTCCTGGGAAAAGGATAAAGAGCCGCAAGCTGAGTAGAATTTCACATTATTCTTCTTGGATAGGGACAAAAACTCTTATGCCCCCGGTATCACAGCACTTCTGACCTTAATTTGTTGGAAGAACCAAAACCAACATAGCGATCATTTCTAGTGTCTATCTGTGATGGGTTCGTTGTGGGTTGATGGGTTGCGGGGAGTCAGGGCTACCCGAAATGGGATCTATGGGCCCCGTTGGAATCCATCCCATTTGGCAGGATCGCAGTCAAGCGAGAAAAATTTGCAAAAAGCTAAACAAACTACATTAAAAATAATTTTTATCGTTGAAAGGTTAAAGCACAGCTTCCCATGTGGAAAATCGTTTGGCTTGTAACGCAGTCCTCCCAAACTCGGAAGGAAGGAACGCGTGACAAAGCCCTAAAAAGGTTTCCGTGGGAGGCTTCCATTTATTTACTTAGTTTCGCCAGATTCTTGGCACGGTCACCGAAACAGCGCGTGGCGCCACTACGCGGGCGCGTAACAGAACCTCCCCTAATGAGAGATAGACCACCACACCAGGGACTACGTCCCCTACTCTTTACGAACAGTGTGTGGGTTCTTTAACGTCCCACAGAATTTATATGTGCGAGGGTTGTGAGACGGGGCCTACTGTTTATCGTCTTTATCCGAGAATACTAGAAAGTCTAACCGTTTGCAGATGTCTTAGGCAGCACTTTGTCCTCAGTTATTTAAAGACCCTGAATGTTGGTCCGGCCAGGATTTGAACCAACGGCCTCCTGCTCTGTAGCCCGGCGCTTATCCAATTGAGCTAACCGGGCAGTCGCTGATTTTACTCGGGCTGAAGTGTTAACGAATTAAGTTAACGAATTGTTATATACATGTTTGCCTATTATTACACTTCAGTACTGGTAAATGAAATCCCACAATCAGTATTGCATATCAAGCATAAACTCATTTCAATATTTTCGCACTTACTCACAACTTTCACAAACCTTACTTGATTCAAACAATTATATTCCTACTTTTAAAATTCCCATATTGTGGTCTTGCTGGGCTCAGCAAGGCAGTAGAATTTAACTATCTCCTGGATGTCAAAAAGTATAAATTTATTGAGTTGGAAATTAAAATGCCCTCTCTACAATGGAAATGACAAGTTTTGCTTTGGTTTTTTTTATTAATTGGTTTTGTTTTTCTGACTTTCAACCCTACCTCCAAACGATTTATCCGTTCGCTGATCATTTTCTCTAGGAGTTCCTTGAACTCCGTATCACTTTTATACCACGCCTTAAGTTCTTGCACGTTTCGTTCATCTTCAGTTTTAAGAGGATCTGTTAAATATTTAACAATGGCTCCTTGCCATGCAGTTTTCCTTGTAGAACTGATCTGCCCAGCGATCCTCACAAGAACTTCACTGATTTCCTGCCAAAGTGTTGAAAACTCATCATCTGAAATTGTCATGCCTTGGTTCACGTGACCATAGACTGAGTTTCGGTAATACTTTATTCTTGCTATATCAGCTGTTAAACTGTGATCTGCAGTGACTGGTGGTGCATCCCATCCCTTGGAGGGAGGGGTGAGGTTGCATATTGACCTCAGCAAACGGAATAGCAGGGTGATGTCAAAATCTTCTGACTTGCCGTACACCTCTGGGGAGGGATTAACACAGTGCCGCTGTGGTATGGAGAGGTATGTAGTTTTGAGCTTTCTCTTTGTTGCTGGAGTGCTAAGAATCGTAGGAAGATCTCTTGGAAGACATATAGAGTCGAAAATCTCCCTCAGCAGGCTGGTCCCTCCACTTATTAAAAGTCGTGTAATGCGTTGGAAATTTTCTTTTCCACTCAGGGTTGAACGAAGAATTTCATCGGGGTCTGGGGCGTCCGCCATTTTTTTATCTCAGACTTATGAATGACTGGATATCACCAGGGAAACAGGATGCAAACATTACTGGTCTTGCTGAAATGATTAGCTAGTTATTTTAACACTTAAAACATCAGTCAATCAAAATAGGCCTTAACCTCAACCTCACTCTAAAGTTTCACTCTTCTCTACTGGTTAGGCGCAAATTATTTTTTTGTTTCAAACTTTGAGTAACAACTCCCAACAACATGCAACAGGGTGCGAAAATGGACGCAGCATGTCCATCCAACAATTTTGGGAGTTGTTGGCCGAAATAGGGCGCTTACGCAACAGCGGCGATGGCTACTAAAATCGATACTAAAACGTCAGTTAAAAAGTGTGTTCGCGCAGGTTCAAACTTCATCGCGTTTATTCCCTGATCTCGTTCAATTCGTTAAATATTGGCGAATTTGTCTGGAGTTGGATTCTACAGGGCTGTATAAAAGTTCAGGAAAAGCAAAAGAGGCGTCGTCGTCTTGTGTTCACGTCTTCTACAAAACGCCGTGAGATTATAATTAAGCAGTTTCACGTCGTAGTCGTGAAACGATGGCAAGGGAATGTACAAAAAAAGCGTGATGCACGTGCAAAGATGTTGTTTTGCTTATTAAACCTATTGTTTTTTAAGACGTTCTCGTTGTCGTCGCATCGTTGAGTCTTAGGGCCTGTTTACATAGAGGTGGGTTACCTCAGGTAGGTGAGGTAAAATGTAGCGGTTCACCCCACCTATCATGATCAGATTAAAATGAGAGATTATATAGACAGGCGGGTTACCTCACCTAAGCGGGTTACCTCACCTACCTGGGGTCCCCCATATACATGTAAACGGGCCCTTAAATTGTTGTGTCCGTTCGCACGGGGCTTTAGAGGGTTTCACACGCGATGCGCGTGCAGAGCAGTTGTTTAGCTCATAAATCCAGTTGTTGACGTTTTCGTTGTTCGTGGTTGCCTTAAAATTCAAATCATCATTCAATGGAATGAATGCAAATCTGATTGAATGTTACACCCATACGAAACAAGCATAATATTCCTTTAAGACCCTTACTACCTGATACAATAATGAATAAATATTTAAGACTTCAGTATCTCGAGTTGGCCTATCTACTGTGTGGCACGAAATTTTTTGCGGGGTTCTAATTTTTGCGATTTTTGCGGTTTTTCCAGCGATCTGCAAAAATAAGTTCCCGCAAATAAAAATTACTGCAGACATTTTTCCCGCAAAAATTTACTCCAAAGTAAATATTCTCTAATTTAAATTCGCTACACAAAAATACAGTACTACAAAATCGTGTCCGTTCAATCACAACTTGTCTCTTTCATTCAGAAACAACGAAATGCTGGTTCTCCTGGCTGGTTCATTGTTTGAAAATATGTATTGCTATTGAACGTAAACTCTGCCAAGAAAAACGAGAATATTATCAATACTGGGTACTGGGTACTTTCTGAAAATCGCAAAAATTCATTCCAATCTGTCTTAATCGCAAAAATTAGTTCCCGCGAAACACAAAAAATCGCCAATCCGCAAAAATAACTCCTGCAAAAATTTCGTGCCACACAATAATTCTCTCCGTGTACTCGCTATTTCAACCGAGAAAAGATTTAAATCAAATGGCAAGCGATGAGTAAGCTAGCGTGACGAGCCGATCTTTCTCACAGTTAAGCTTATTTTTTTTATCCTGAAACTGAGAGAAAGAGTATTCTAAATGATTGTAAAATCCATTTTTAGGTGCAGGAAAACTATTAAGTCACCGAAAAATTGTTATCGAGAGAAAACAACTTTGCAGCCCACACAGCTCGCGGAGATGACAACAACAACAACAACACTCTCCTCTTTTCCTTACTATCGGTTAACAAATTCAAACGTTTCCTCTTAAATTCTCTTATAAAACACATGGTAAACGCTTCATCGTGTACTGATGAGGTATGGATGCACTCAGGAGACTCAGGATTGCTAAGGTCACAACAACTCAAGGAAACAGGATTACGAATAGTTTATTGACGTCATCAGCGTGCTCAATAGGAACATGAAGCACGCTCGCGCTATTGAATTTGATAAGGCGAATTTTCTAGCTATGTAAAAATTCTTGTGTCCGTTTGCACGGGGCGTTAGAGGGTTTCACGCGCGATGCGCTTGCAGAGCTGTTGTTTTTATTGCTCATAAATCCAGTTGTTATTGACGTTTTCGTTGTTGTCGTCGTCTTTGCTTAAAATTCAAATTATCATTCAATGGAATGAATGCAAATCTGATTGAATGTTTCACTCGTACGAAACAAGCAAAATATTCCTTCAAGACCCGTACTACTACCAGGCTACCTGATACAATTTGAATGAATATAAAAGAATGCAGTATCGCGAGTCGAGTTGGCCTATCTACCATGTGGCACGAAATTTTTGCGGGTTCTAATTTTTGCGGTTTTCCAGCGATCCGCAAAAATAAGTTCCCGTACATAAAAATTACCACAAACATTTTTCCCGCAAAAATTTACTCCAGAGTAAATATTCTCTAACTTAAATTCGCTACACAAAAATACAGTACTACGAAATCGTGCCGTTCAATCATAACTTGTCTCTTTCATTTAGAAACAACGAAATGCTGGTTCATTGTTTGAAAATGTGTATTTCTTTTGAACGTACTCAATAAAAACGAGAATTTTATCAATGCTGGGTACTGTATACTTTCTCAAAATCGCAAAAATTACTTCCCAGCAAGAAAGACCAATCTGTCCTAATCGCAAAAATTAGTTCCCGCGAAACACAAAAAATCGCCAATCCGCAAAAATTTCGTGCCACACGGTGATCCTCTCCGTGTACTCACTATTCCAACTGAGAAAAGATTTAAATCAAATGGCAAGCGATGCTAAGCTAGCGTGACGAGCCGATATTTCGCGTTCAAAAGATGAACTTCATTAACGACTATTGAAGATTTTTAGTCGTCTGTAAAGCGTCTCTATTCACTATAATTTAATTTCAAGGACAAGTCGCTTTTACTAGCAAGTCAATGTTGGTTGTGTCAGCTGTCTTACTGAAATAGCAACAGTGCATTGTCACAGTTTTTTTGTGTAAGCTTCTTTAGAACATTATTCTGCAAGTCGAGAGAATAGCTACAATGATACAATCGACATTCCATATGGTTGCCGATTACTCTAGAACGCGTAATTTGTTACTCCAACCATGATGAGCTACTGTGATTTGTTAACAATTGAGATCAATTTGTGAAAGTACAGAAGGTTGTAGAATTGCAATCTAATCATGTGTGCCGATAATCAAAGTGAGATGGGTCAAATCAGAAGCCTATTAAGAAATTGCATTAGCAATTAATATCCGCCAAAAAAGAAGAAACATTCAAATTACAACAGATTGAAACTTCTTACCGTCAGTATCACGCCTGCAACAAGTACTGACTAGAGACCGAAGGCGGAAGTGTGCGTGGGCGTGAAAATATATAGCCTGCGTGGCAGGTGCTTCAAAAAGTGGTGGACGCAAGAAAGAACGGGCGCGCGAGAGGGAGACACGCGAGGGAAGAGGGAGCCTCCCTCTCCCCTCGCGTGTCTCCCTCTTGCGCGCACGTTTTTTCTTTCGCTCACTACTTCCAAGCGCCTGCTACGCAAGCTAGCAACTTTGGTACCACATGCAAATCAAAGTATTCTATTCGCTCGTCGAGGCGTTAGATTTGATCGTTGTGCCAAAATCTCTGCCTGTCAAGGTAAGTAATTCAGCTGATAATTTGACCATAGAGTCACATTTGTCCGGCGAAAGAAAAGCTTGGCATGGGGCCATGGATTTTTAAAATGTGTATCGCTCTTTGAAGCGGTTAGCATTAGGTAACATCGGCTGAAGTCAGATTGTTTCTTTCAGTAAAATTACATGAAGAACAACTGAAGTCCAACTTTACTGTGTAAAATAAAATTGAAATAGAAAAACTCCACTGTGTGGCAAACCATTCAACTGTAAAAGTATTTGACTGTCGCGTTGGCAAGCGTCTGCTTCGAAAAGCTACCGTCGGGTCCAATTGTTTTTTTTGTTTTGACCACCACATGAAACTGTCGTTCGCCCACTGTCATTAATATTCCTGAAATCAATAAACGCGAATGATACCCGTTATCCATGTATCGATATCTTTGCACCTCCGTTCGCGTATCGGCAAAAATTGTTGACACAGAAAAACATCCAAACTGAACGAATTCTCTTGTCTTCCTCGGGATTCATCGTTAAATCGTTCCTTGCCTTGATGAATACTTCCTTATCTAAATCTAAAACAAAACAAAACAAGCAATTACTTAATTGTCATCTGCCCCCTGGGGGGTTCTTCCAGAAAAATTTGGGTGGGAGTGTGCGGAACGCTTCCTGAAACTTTTAACCTATTTCAGACCAAAATTTGTGATTTTCCCTACCCTTTTTCAAGCCTGATCAAAAATTTGATACCCTATTTTAGACCTGACCCTTAAATCAATACCCTATTTCGCGCCCGCCTTATAATCAGTTCCCTAGGTCAGACCAATGTTAAAGGCAATGTTCATACGCTTTTATTAAGTAGGATACGAAACTGTACAAAGTTTCGAGCTTAAAGGGATATGATCTTATAGCCTAAAGATGAAGAAGTAGCTTCTTCTAAAAATACCCAATTCAAGACTAGAGTGCACAAACCATTCCCTATTTCAGACCAGAATGGTCAACATTGATACCCTGGGCGCTTTCCATTTAGGAAAAAAACCCGGAAATTTCGGTGGTGGCAAAAGTGGAATTTCCGATTGGTAAAAAGTTGTTCCATTTGGTCGAAAACCCCGGTACGTGGCGGTGCCCGACCGTGGACCTGGAACTGGTACAAACTAAGAGAAACGTAAATGGAACACGACATTCCGTTCGGAAATTCCAACCGGGAAAACGGGACCACTGAGTGGGACGAACCGACGAAACGTGTTCCATTTACCGCCGAACCGGAAATTCCGGAAATTTTGACTAAATGGAAAGCGCCCCCTATATCAGACCAAAACGGCTAAAAAACCATACCCTTTGGCACCGCACATACCTATATAGCCTGTAGAAGGGAGTAACCCCCCCCCCCCCCCCCCCCCCCCCCCCCCCCCCCCCCCCCCCCTCATTTCCCCCCCTACCTTTTTTCCCCCACACCTTTTTTTTTTTATAAAATTACACACCCCTCTTCTCACACGTCCATTTGTCTCTTCTTCTTCTTTTTTTTTTTTTTTACTCTCTTTTGTTTTTTTGATAATNCCCGAAGGGCTTTTTCCTACAACAAATTTTTCTTCTAAAAAGGCTTACCCACCCTTATTCCCAGGTGTCAGTTTCATTTTCTTCACTTTATCTATTTTCAAACAGGCTGCGCTTTTTTGAGAGAATCCAATCTTAGATCATATGGATTCTTCACTACCGAAAAAACGGAGGGTCCGAAAAAGGATCACTTACCATAACAACAGCATGTCCTCGTGCCCCTCGTGATGAGAAAAATAGGTTAAAAAAACAACAAACTGATCCTCACGGCGAAGACAAGAGGGAAAAGCAACAAAAACTACTTATGATTATACGAAATCTATATATTTCGGTTTGAAACACGAACGTTTCTCGAATAGAATACACCTTAGAAGAATAAAATTATAAGAATTCAAAAAATACAGCCGATGAATCAGGAGCCCATAACCTGGAGCGTGCAACTGTCATAAATTCGTGCAACGGCGTTTTTACATGTGAGTTTATTTTTAGATAAGCTTTTCCTGCGAAAAATGACTGTTGTCGCTTGGACCTTTTCACAGTTGGCTGTTTCGAAGATGATTTCGATTTCCCTTTCCGTGAATTATGCGTTGTCGCCGATGAAGTAGACGTCCCAGGCTCTTCTACGTTTTGCAGATCTTCCTCTGAACTGCTAGTTTCATTGTAAATACTGAAATTGTCGCTTGAAGTACTGTCAGAAGAATCCTCTTAAGATTCCTCACGTGCGTCCGCCACGCTTTTTTTTCAATGTGAAGGAGTTGTCCTGGTTGCGTGTTAAAAGTTTATTATTGATGATGCACGTGCTTGTGATTGGCTTTTCGAAAGCAATTCACGGGAAAGGCTTATCTAAAAATAAACCTACTTGTGAAAACGCCGTTGCATGGGCGCAGTATGGAAGTTAGACGCTCCGGGTTATGGGCTCCTGATGAATTGTATATTTTTTCCATTACTTTAATTATTTCAGAAAACCGGCGTAAGCAGACACTACATACGTACAACAAACATGTCAAGTAAGGGTTTAATAACAGTCTACGAATGTAAATAGATGACAAACATGGAATGATATGTAACTATTAGATGGCTCAAACTAGTTAAGGCGCCACCAACATATAGGTACAGTTCAGTCTGGGTACAGTTAGAATGTCATACATGTACGGCATCAGTGGTGTACCATGTTTGTGGGAAAACCGCTAGTCAAAAATACTGTTTTCAAATCCTTTCCCCCCCCCTCCCCCCCAAAAAAACGCTCAGGTTGTGAATCTCAAAAATCCAGATTTGGATTTGATTCGAAGAATCCACCCAGAGTGTAGATTTTATCAAAGGATTTATGATCCGTTTTTGGATTTTCCCAACAGAAATGCAAAATCCGTTTTTGGATCCGGAAATCCGGATTTGGATTTTCCCAAAAAAACGCACCCACAAACTCCGTATTTTCTTCCAACTCTAACGCCAGCACTTACTTTCAAATTGAAACTCTTAGCTTTACATGAGAGGGGTAAGGGTCTTCTTCTGTTATGTGCAAAACAGAACCACTACGCATGCAAAACAATGGAAAAGAAAGCTACTTACATCCGAATTTATATCCAAGTTAATTGGTCAGCTTAAAATACTCTTAGGTTGATGTGACTGCGTTTCCTTCATCCCAAATTAAAATGCTTTTTAGGCGGCTCCAACAAATCTTCTCTATTCAGTAAAACTTTCCTCTGTAGTAATACCGTGTGCGTACAATATGTGAACGGTTTTTTTTTGGTCTATTCCTATTTCTGTATGTACTGTAATAAGTGTATTTAGCTGTCTATTGTTACTTACATGTACTGTACATATCATGTAAGTTGAATTAAAAAATAAATAGATAAAAGGACTAAAGCTCTACCAAACTGGCGATCAGTTTAAAATAAACATGACTGGCGTTTCATGTCATTTTCTCGTCCCTTGGTAATTAGCCTGTTCACGGACCCACTATTTTCTCTTCAAAGTCCGTCAAGCGCGCGTAATAAAAAATAAAAACCGCGGTGGATTTATTTTAGCGCAAGGGGGTATAGGTGGCGGAAGAAGAAAATGGACGTTTATTTTTGTTTCTCGCGCGCTCGCTTCGCTCGTGCTCTCGCCGATGTTTTCGAAAAGAACGAAAAGAAAAATAAAACAACGTCTGTGTACAGGCTTCTTGGTAATCTTGGTAATAAACTTACAAGAATACAACACCAAATGTAAATGAATTTTACAGCAACCGTTTATGTATTTCCCCAAAACACGGTGCTTCATTTCCTTAACTATCTATGGCTCCTCCTAAAATGTTCTGCAATTGGTATAGGATTTAATGGAGCCGAAACCAATTGTGGAATTGCACGCGCATTTTAGGCATCCTACTGATGAACAGTTGCGACATGTAGATATATATTTTTTAGCAACTAAGATAATTTGCAGTTTGTCTACTTTGAATTTCATGGTTTGTTTGTTTCTGTTTTGTTTCTATTTTTATTTTCTTTCTTTTTTTTGAAATAAACTAAGGAAGTGAGCTAATAATGTCCCGGCAGTTGCGAGGAATGTAGCCAACCATAGAAATTCCATATTCCTTTTAGAAAAAAACTCTGTTTTCAAGAAAACTTTTCTTTCTCTTTGGGTACCCAACATGCCGCCGTGACGTCATCTGATGTCACGTTGTAATAATAACAGGAAAGAAAAGCCGAAAATATTTTTTAAATAACTATACACATAAGGACATCGGTCAAAATGCATGCCCTAAAAAATTATAACATATTCCTTAACTCTTGTTCGTCCTATTTCAAACTTCAGCATATTTTGCATCAGTCGATCAAACTCTCCTACACCAAACGTTGAATTTCAGTTTCATCTGGACATTCCAGATTGTTTAGAATTTCCCTGATTTCCTCAGCAATGGGGGATGTGGATCCGTGATGACGATCCAAAGATGACTTCACAAGTTGGGTGATATCCCATGGCAAAACTGAAGCGTCAGCAAAACGCGACACGTTTCTGATCACGGCGCCTGCTGAAGTAGTGGAAGTGAAAGTTGTGTTTAAGGAATTCAACTGTCCTTGAAGTTCTCTACAAGCTCTGCGATCTCTGTTAATTGCCCCCTGGACATTTGGGAGCCTAAATCTTTTCTCGACCTCAGCTCCTATCAGGGCACCAATTCCGCCCACTGCAGCAGCTGCCACTAAACTGGCCCCAAAGGTAAAGGGTGCGGCCAAAACCGCGCCCGCGCCCATAACAAACCCGACTGTACTGCCGGTTGCAGTGTCATACTCTCCGAGAAGGTCTCTTACCAAACTTTCTAACATCCTTTTGGTATGTCTTCTAATTCGTATCCAGCGGAGGAAAGCGTAACGAAGCCTATCTAACGTTTGGTTAGCTGTTACTAAAGAAAGGAAAAGTAAATACGTAAATTTAGCGAGTAAACTTGCAGTCATTCGGTATGGAGGGAATCAAAATGTAAGATGTTTTGATTAATGACAACCCTTTAATAAGTCAATCCTTTTCCCAGATAATAAGTTTTGTGCATTAGAAACAGTAAAAAGCCACGAGTAAGACTGACTACCTGGTTTTTAAGAACCTGGCCCCAGTTGTTTAAACGCTGGATAGCACTATCCAGCGGATAAGTGATTACAGAAACCAATTGCGTTATCCAGTGGATAGCGTTATCCAGCTTTTGAACAACTGGGGCCTTTTATGCTAAATTCAAATAGTAGTGGTGTCTGAGGAGAATTATACCTTTTTTTGGGCAGCAAAAGGGCAGCAAAAATTAATAAATCGCTCAGGAATAAAATGCGCGGAAACTTGTTTAATTTAGGTAAAATATAGAAATGTGGTGGTAGTGGTGGTGGTGGTGGAGGGAAACAGTAGAAATGTGGTGGTGGTGGAAGGAAACATTAGAAATGTGAGGTGGTGATGGTAGAGGGAAAAATATATAAAAAAAATAAGGAGGTGGTGTAGGGGGAGAGAAATAATAAAATACGAAGGAGGGAATAAAAAATACAAATAAAAAATTGAGGAGGGAAAATAACAAAATTGTGGAGGAGGAAAATAAAAATGAAAAGAAAGAGGGGTAAGTAAAACATTGTGCGCAGTGTAAAAAAAAAGGTAGCTTGCCTTCTTTAACTATTTTAATAGAATCTTTAATCTAATCTTTTTGCAATTATTTTAAAGGGTCATAAAGTTGATTTCTTGTGTCTGGTATTATTGCGAGTGCTTATTGATTAGTTGCGTTAATTTTTTTGTTTTTATAATAACAAGTCAAGGTTCTCTCTTGAGGTTTTTACTATAGAGCTGAACCAATTTGTATGCAAATGTGGGCTTGTTAACTCGCATAATTACCTGATTAACGGCGCGTGAAACTACAAGACTTCAGACGGAAGAAACGGTTTTGTAATAGTAATAGTCAGCCAAAATTGAAATAAAGAGTTTTCAGCTCCACTTTCTGTTAAACTGTCAAATTGACCCTATTGTGTTGTGACGTCATTACTAGTACTTGCCTGAACATGTTAGTATAAATTAAACAAGTTTCCCGCACATTTTATTCCTGAGCGATTTATTAATTGTTGCTGCCCTTTTGCTGCCCCCAAAAAAGGTACAATTCCTCTCAGACACCACTACTTCATACTGGGCATGAAGATATGATCGTCCCAGTGGTAATTGCAATTTAAGCAATTGCAAGTTAATCTGAAAAAAGAAATTCGGAACGTCAAAGGAATTCGAAACCATGGCCTCTGCGTTAGCGCTGCAATGCTCTATCAATTTTTTTTTTTTTTGGGGGGTCCCCCCAAAAAAAAAAAAAATTGATAGAGCATTGCAGCGCTAACGCAGAGGCCATGGTTTCGAATTCCTTTGACGTTCCGAATTTCTTTTTTCAGATTAACTTGCAATTGCTTAAATTGCAATTACCACTGCGACGATCATATCTTCATTTGAATTTGCGTTTTCGCAGTTCACATCACCTTCACTGTTGGGCTAAGATTGGCCAGTTAGGCCCCCTCAAAACAAGAACCTGTTCAGCTTAAAATTTGATGCAGGTTCTACTTTCTAAAACCTATCAAAAATTTTGTACATTTGGACGAGTAAGATAAGTCATCATTCAGGTTCCTCTTTGAAGCCATAGGTGCCTTATCGCTCCAACTGCAATGTATTGGTTTGCAGATTTTATATTAGGAATGAGCTAAATACCACAATACTCTTAGCTACAATGTAACCTTTCTTTCAGAAAATACAAATCTTTTTTAAGAACCCAAATAGCCTAAATTTGTGTCAATTACCATTATGCAAGAACCTATATTAAGGCTAACTTCGAAAGATGCACGTCTCTTTCTCGCCCGTTTTTTCTGTACCGGATATCAAACCTGGCAACTTTTTACCGCAATAGCATTGCCTTTAAATGTCGGCCTTCTATACCCCTTAAAAAATTAGAAAAACAAAAACACTTTCACGTAAAAATATTGAGACTTTTCACGCATCACGAATAATTCCTACAATTTCTTCACGTTCACGTAAAAATTACGTAATTCACGTTTCACGGATGGGTGACAACCAAATTCGTGACAGCCCTTCAATAATAATGTCAATCCTTGTCTTTTGAATTTCCTTGATATAGTAGAACCCCGTTAGCTCGAACTCTGAAGGGAAACGAAAAACAATCCGAATTAGCGGGGATTAGTTATTTGGGTCGATGTTATGTAAAATTTGCCATCTTAGCAATTAATAGTTGCTCATTTTTCAGCACTTAATCAGTGTATAGTACAATGCAAATTTAACTTCACAAAATACGTGATCTGTTCGTTGCACCAATCAAAATCGATTTGCTGTCAGGAGTGTCATAGTTTTAGTGGTTTTACTGATTATAAAACAAGAAGAGCCAATGAAATGGCATCCGAGTAGAGTCACAAGAACCAGAATTCGAGTTATCGGGGTAAACATCAGTGAAATTTTGATCAAGGGAAAGGAAATTTAGTTCGAGTTGTGTAGAGAAGAATTCGACTTATTCGAGTCCGAGTTAACCGAGTGAAAATGACTGAAACGTGTGTTGAAATCCAAGGGAAACAGGACTTAGTTCGAGTTAGCAGGGAGTTCGAGTTATCGTGGTATATTTTTACCACCAGATATCCGATAACAAACTTTGAAACGTTTCACCACTTACACTTTTCACTCGCCATATTTCTTCACGTTCACGTTAACAACAAGTAATTCACGTTTACTTTCAAGGATGTGTAATCACGAGTCATGAATAAATAAAACCTTAAATCATGTTTCACGAGAAAAAAAAACAATCACGCTTCTATAGGGGACCCTCACACACAAAAAAAAGTGTCGCAACCCTTGGGAGAAACCGACTTTCGGGAATGGTTTTTTTGGTCTGCATTAGATCCCACCGGTCGTAGTCCCTTTCTCTCCTCATGAAATTTAAACAAGGTTGAACTGTTTTCTGCTTTTATATCACACTTAAATGATATTTCAAGCTGGAAATGTTCATGAAAGTGCAATTCTCTTCAATTTAAAAAAAAAAAAAAGTTGACTTGAAAGACCGTAGGATTCGAACCCGCGACCCAGACGGTCCAGTATACTACGCTAACCACTAAACCACTAAGAATTTGCTGGATGGATGTGAAATAATTTAAGTACATATCGCATCAACCCCAACCCAAAAATGAACCTAACCAGTTTCGAAACAGTGCTTAACCCTAATCAGTAGAGGCAGTGGTCGACCCTAATCTGTAAAGGTAGTGCTTAACCTTAATCAGTAAAGGAGAAAACTGGGTCCAGACACAACTTCATTTCTAGGGATTTTCCTTAACTTAGTCTAAATAGCTGGAGGTGACATATAATGATTTTTCAAACCTACCCTCAAAGGTTAAACGCTGTCGACAAGTCCTGTAGTCCTCTTCCTTGATACCCGACGCAAGTTTTAATGAAGAAAGACCAAACTCTTTCAGGAGGTCTTTTGTCACAAGGTAAGACTGGGCTACTTCATTTAGATGGCCTGTGCTGTAGTCTTCCCAAAGGTCATCAAGAATCTTCAGCGATCCACACTCCAACTTAAATATCAAGCTTCCAGTCTTGATATCAAGAACAAGTACTTTGCGAACTTTTTCCAAATATTCAAGGAAACCATTCAACTCCTCCGGGTTTGATGGGTCAACTTTCTTAAAGCATTTATCTGCAATACGATTGAAAACCTCTTGTGTCGAAGGTTGGTTTGAGGAAGCCTCTCGTGATCTTTGGGCCTCAGCATAAATTCGGAGATCAAGATTACCTACTGGAATATAAAAAGAAAGACAACTTACAAACTTAAAAGGTTCATCAACTACATGATCAACGCTGTAAGTAAATCTTTAATGAGATTTAAGCTGCACGTTTTTCATGACGTTTTCGACAACAAACTATAAAAAAATCTACTGGTTCAGGACAACGTCTCTGGAAATCATAATGAGAGATAGGTCCAACAGGAAATGCGGTATTTGATGGCGTTAGGGAAAGACAGAAAGCGACAGACGTTACTTTGGCGTCTTGACCCACGCTGATGAGATTCCTAAGCTAGAGACGGATAATTTTACTTTTAGAAAGGAATCTTGAAAGCTTCACTACAGAACGACCTTATGAGATAATCACCTAACAATCACCTAAACACTTACAGAAGAGTTTTTTTGTTTTATCGCTCGTAAAACATAAATGAACAAAAAGCAGTGCATTATAATACACAAAACGAAGTTGAACTCATTGGCAAGTTCAACTTCGTTTCGCAATCCGCCGGTAAATAAGGGATCTGAGTTTTGTGAAATGCTGGTTCATTGATTAGAAAACAGGTTGAAATGACTTAAACTCGTTAACAATTCATAAAGAAAATAAAAATTATAAGTCGCATTGATGTTCAATGAGTCTTGGAAATCACATGAAAAACTCCTCATTTTTTAAATCCTAAATTACTTGTTCTGAAATCATTATAATAGACCTTTTTAGCTTGTATGTTTTGTTTTCCCATTTTAGACCACGTGATGGTACCCCTGAGAACTGTTTCTGTCAAATGTTCTCTTATGCACGTGCATTTACGTGCAAATGCATGCATAATCAGTCAAGCTTGCTTTAGCAGAGCGAGACTCTAAAAATGCAGGCGTTTTTCTTTTGCGTCGGTATTCCCCAAATGGTCGCCATGGTCCCAGGCGTTCCTGGCGGAGACCGTGGAAACTGGGGATAAGAATCGTGACGACTTTCGTTGTATCCAAATGAGTCTTGTGATGACCATGTGGTTTATTTTCGGCGATGACTGAAATGACGCATGTAAGTTGAACACGTTTTTGGCAATGATGTAATTTTCCCCGAACCGAGGCCCTTGATGTTCGTGTAATTATGCACGTGTTTTAAAAAGTAAATACCCCGAGTAGGATGAGATAATATCATTGTGGTGTATTGAGGCGTTACGTTTCTCAGAATATTGTCGCAATTACTGGAACTCTTTGGTTAAATAGATTCACTCTTTTGTATGTATTCAATTGATATTTCGCAGTTGTTAAAATGTGGAGTCGCGTTACACTTTAAAAACACTTGAGATATCAATGATTTAACCTTCGAGTACTACTGGAAGCAACTTCAACTACGCGTCTGACTCTACATAGGTGTCACGGATGTGTTTATACGGGTAGCTTTGTACTTGACTATCACGCACTCTACTTGCAGCACTTCATGTCCATAGAATAGAAATGCCATATCGAACTTTTCCGGAACGGGTCGGTCCACGAATTCTATCGCTTGAAAGCGTTGAATACTTTGGAACAACTGATTACTTCAGTGGTCGAAAAAAAGAACAATCGTAATGAGCAAAACTTCGAGGTTTACTGGCAAGGGAGGTTCGACGATCGACGATCGAGGATCGGGAAGCGAGAATCGGGGATCAAGAATCAGATTTTAAAAACTTGACAATAAAATAAATTTAAGAATTTGTTCATGCTTAGCGTGCGTATATCGAGTTATGGATGCACGTGGGAAGTTTGGAGAGTACGAAAGATGCGTAAGAGTGCAACTCTAGCTTCTTGAGTGCTCTCCAAACTTCCCAAGTGCATCCATACCTCGATATACGCACAGCTAAAAGCATGAGCAAATTCTTTTGTAACATAGCTGACAAAAATGCTTGCTTTTTGATTAACTGCAAAATTCTCGTAACTCGCTACACAATAACAAACGGTTCTATTGGCTGATTACGAACACGCCACAATCGTCTAGTTTGAATAAAAATGTTCTTTCTGTAAAACTGAGAAAGAAAATTTGCTTGTTTATTCGTTAACGATCAATGGAAACTAAGCAGAAACAAAGGTAAAGGAGTCTTAAAGTTCACCTAAAGTTAAAATTATTAACATGTTCGTAAGAAGTCGTGGAGTATGGTTTGGATTTGCTGAAAAGATGTTTTTACGAGCATTGGCTGGTCATTACGGCTTCTTGAGAAGACCTGGCAGCAGTTGTTTTTGTGAGTAATAAATTTATGTCTTCTTGTGTAATTTGTGTTGTTATTGCGAGAGAAATTTTCGGAAATTTTACCCTTAAATGTTGTTGATGACCAGTTGGTGTCTGTTCTGTTCCCAGTGAGTGTCTTTCGGCCAAAATTTGCTGCAACTGGTCTTCCGACAAATTTCGAAACGCGCAACTTGCGACCTTTTTTAATTCGGCTTCATTTTTGCGGCTTGTTGGATCAGGACTTAAAAGGTCAATGCCGATAGAAAAATTGGGCAGTTCTTCGCTGGTTTCTTCCATATTTTAAAGAGAAGGAAAACTGCACTGCAGCTTATAAGACGACAACTGTACTTTGCAGCCGGATAAAAAGAAAATGTTCACGTCATCTTATTTAGATTTATATAAAGATTTTGTTCATAGCGGCTCAATAGGACTTATATAGGGCAAGCACGCGCGCTATGTTATAAAAATAAATCGTGGATCGTGGTGATGTCGGCCGCAGACTGTAGATAAATTTCACAAAACATAACCCCGCTCGCTGTACTGAGCACTAAATTTAAGTAAACTACTCTGAGTCTGACTGAGTCAGTGATTGTTTTGACGAGAACTGAGTGAAATTTTCCTGGAAAATGAAACACTTTATCCCAGTGATAATGTGATAAAATGCACGCTGTCTATAGCTCTAAACATTGTACTCTGAGATCGCGTAAACATCAACTGTTACGAAGATATTAAAAGCAGATACTAAGTAGTCATGGACAATGTAATTACTTTCACGCAATTTTGATATCTCATAAAACGGAGAACAAATTCAACAGGAATACGCGCGAACTGACTTAATGTCTGTTGTGTAAAGTTCTGCTGAACTTACACATTTTTCTTTGCTGAACAAAAACTGTACCGAGCCGTATCTTGCCAGCTACATTGAAGGTATATATATTTATACTGATAAAAATCATCTTTCAATTTTTTGAGTGTAAAATCCCTGAAAGGGTTCTCCTCACTGGAGCAATATCAATATTTTTTCAAAGGCTTCACACCGATGTGAAGATAAGATGTGCGGCCTGTCTCTCCTTGCAGTTTTTACGTTTTGAGTATTTACGTTATGACTTATAACACTCGTTTTGTATTCCAAACGAAAAAGTAGCATAATAGCACCAGCGTCTTTGACAACAAAACTTATCACCAAGTAAGCAAGACTCACAGCTACTAAGAGCGTTCTTGTTAATGAAAAGAGAAAAGGCAAATTCCCTAGAGAACATCACGTGGTCTGTATTGGGAAAAAAAACATACAAGCTAAAAAGGTCTATAGAAACATTCGACACAGTAGTGTTTCATCACAATACAGTCAAACACCTCAAAGTTCGATCTTCAAAAATACTCTGCTGCAAGTCGTCTTGCCAGTTCTCTTCTCCGTGTTTGATCTTGTAAAGAAACACTGTGTCTATCATGCTTGATATATTACGTAAAACATGTAAATGGACGTACCTCCAGATTTAACTAAATTCAGGATTGATCCATTCCTTATTTGGTAGTCCCTCAAAGTACGGCAGTGTGCGAGTTTTATGCCATTATACATGAGACATTGATGATCGGGTGGGATCGCTACTCTAGCTTGAATTTTGTCTATTACAATTCTGACTTTGTCCTCTGGGCAGACATCTACACTGATGTCATCTTCGTTTGGCATTTTGACATTTACACTTATCAGTAATACATTACAGTCCAAGACTGATCCGTTTTTAATGCTGTAATCACTCAATGTGTACTTATCTTCTAGAAGCCGACGAAGATAATAGAGGCGTTGCATGTCGCATGGGATATCTTGGCTGAGCTGAATTCTCTCTTTTACATTTTTGATAGTGTTACTTTTAATGAGCTTGAACCTCACGTCTATTCCAGTTGACATCTTAACAAAGATTTCAACTGCTAAATATAAGAACAGCATTGAGTTGTTCTCAATGTTGTAGTAATTCAAAGAATGGACGTCGTCGAGAAGTTCACCATTAAACTGCAAAATTTGGCGGTACGGTGAAATTTTTATTTTGGCATGAATTTTTTCCTTGACACTTTCGACCGTATCCTTTGGCCTCAGTTCCAAGGCCATCCTTTCTTCCGTTGAAGAAAAAACCAAACACACTTCTATTTTTTCCACCAAATAAATAACTGAATCATTTCGGATATTGTAGTCAGAAATAATGCGTGTATTTTCTAGATCTCTGTCAGCAAAGTTGAGAATTTGTTTGTGAGGAGGAACACCTGTCATGTCTCGTATTTTCAGTTTGACCTCTAAAATGGATTCAGTGGGTCTCACTTCTAGGGTATACGTAGTTACTGGTCCCCTGGCTTCTGTTAAGATTGTGACTTCCATACGATTATGACCGTTATGCCTACCAGGAACTCGGAGTACCAAATTGAGGGTTGATTTATTCGGAATGTTGTAGTCACTGACAGTTCGGTCGTCTTCCAAATTTCTTCCATTATAGACGATACGTTGGTCGTCCACTGGAAATCCTTTCTTGACATTTATTATGCTCTTCAAGTTTGCGATAGAATCATCAGGATCTACAGCTAATGTGATAGTCTGATTAGTCTCCTTATACGTTACTTTTAGGAATATTTCCAAATGACCACAATCAGTAAATAACCAGTCTCTGTGAAATGAGCACAGAGCTGATCGATACGGAAAAGTGCAGAAGCAAAGGCGGCCTCCTTCCCAAAACAGATGACCTTCAGATGAAGGACATTTTTTCTCTTTTTCAATTTTCTTCATTACAATCGGGGTTAAATCTAAGTTCTCTTAAAGGTCTGCGTCCCTAAAGGCCTCAGCATGAGAGACGATAGATCCTTGACTTAGTGCTCCTGTCTTGCTGGCTTGAATCAGATGGTACTGGCATAGTTGCATGCAATTAACCTTTAAAAATTGAGAGAAAACGCCAAAAAAATTACATAGGGAATCTATAAAACGCAAGGTTACATCACACTGAAAAGCCCTTTTGTTTTGTTTCATTCGCTATTTTCACGACACGTTATCCATTTTCAAAAGAAACCAACTCGTACGAAAGTTTGCAATAAACTTTCATCTGGGAGTTTTAAGCTCTAATATTATTTGATAAATAGATAACCCTTTTAAAAGACAACAAAACGTTGCTATCTGACGTTTTCATTTTATGCCTGTAATAAAACTCCCTTTCTGACCGCAGGAAGTCCTTTTTTATCATTATTCCAGCTCAAATCAGTCTTCAAATCAGTCAGGGCGTTTAGCAGATTTCACCAGTTTGTTATAAATATATGAAAGGAATAGAGGAGAGGAACATAACTGTAAATCATACCATCAAGATAGAGAGGAGGGGGAACTGCATGGTCTTGCGGTTTCTGAACCGTAAAAAGTAAACGAAGCATCGCGCAAACTGGGTCGAGTGTTCCTTTGGATCGGAGACAGTAGCGCTCGTGAATACTCTGATTGTCTAAAACAGCGCTTGCGCATGCCCTTATTGTCTCGCCTTGACTGTGTTGACCAAGCTGGGCAAGCCACAATGTTTATATGGGTAAAGGAGGGTGACCTTAGCATCACAAAAGGGTGACCAGGGAAGACGGGTCACTCTTTTAGCCCAGCCAACTTTTTGTTTCTCGTGCAAACGGTCCGCCTCGTTTTTTATAGAAAAATATGAAAAGTTGGCTCATCCAGGGTAGCTTGGGTAGGCGAGTGACCCTTCTTCCGAGGACAAATTTTCTCCATTTAAAAGTTACGCCATTTGGACTTCATTTGGGGCAACCACCTCGTTTTTGGGATACGTATAGTGAGCAGGACAGTCTGGACTCTTTCCACCTAAATGAAATTGATCAGCTGAGTGAAGAAAACCCGTCTAATGGACATCTTTGAAGCCTTACTAGGGACCTTACGATCGACGGCAACGGCAACGACAACGTAAAAAAGCAATAAATAAGGGCCTGTTTACGTGGAGAAAGGAATATCCTAGGTAGAACAACTTTACGTTGGGTTTAAATGCAGAAAATTGGGTCCGTGTAGTGCCCGAGTAGAGACGGGGTCGATAAGGAATTAACAAATATGCTGTTTGTGATAACGCCAAAGGAAGTTTTCTGCCTTTATTGCTGTGATAAGCCACAGATGGGCCCGCCGTCATTTTTGCATAGTTTATTCCAACTACGAGCGAAACCAGTAGTTTACATGATCTAAGGATCTTCTCATGCTAGGATCTTCCCAGCTCTCAGCTAGGAAGATCCTAGTACTAGGAAACTGGTATTTCTTATTGTTCTTACAGTAGGCTTAAAAACAATAAAAAATTCCAGTAGGCAAATGCGACAGCTATACGCGTATGTTGCAAATGAATCCACCCTTAGACTACGGCGTGAAAGCGCCTGATTCACGTATCAAGAGGACGGAAACAAGCCACGACGAAATTGTCTAGTTTCTCGTTCTGAACTTGTATATGGTTCTTAGGAATTCCACTTTAGGAGACATGACCAAGTAAGTGAGTTGTAATTATCGCGATGAAGATTGAAAGAATGCTTATTCACTTTTTAAGTGAGAATTTCGTTACCGCTGTCATCCTCGGATCTTGAGGTCCCTAATCGTTTCCTTAAACCCCTCATTAGGGATCTTAAGATCCGACCACGGCGAAGGCAACGGGAACGTAGCATAGGTTAAGATTAGCAAAACAACAACTTTGCACGTGCATCACACGTTTTTTTGTACATTTCTTTCTTTCGTCACTGCACGACTACGACATGAAAATACCTAATTTCACTTCTTCTGGAGGACGTAAACAAGCTACTGCGAAATTTACTTTCTCATTCTGAACTTGGATATGGTTTTTAGGAATTTAACTCCAAGAGAGTTCCCCTACATTTGAGAAAGTAAGTGAGTTGGAACTGTCGCGATGAAGACTGAATGAACGCGAGTTCACTTTTTAAGCAACGTTTTAGCTGCCGTCGCCGTCCTCGGATCTTAAGGTCCCTACTGCTAGTGTAAGGATGCCACGCTTAGTCCGAAACTCAAGTAGCCCAGCAAAGCTCTCGTCATCGACACGTTTGTTACAAAATAGGCGACTAATCCGTTAAAGGCGGAAATGTGAATCTTTGAGTTACCTCATTAGCGGACAACTGGAACTAGATAGGGTTCGTCCAGAATTGCAGTCTGTGACCTCCGTGTCGGCTTAAAAATAGACAAAAAAGTGAGAGTTCATCGCGCAAAAACTCGCGTTTAAAACTTTCATAGTGATTATTAAAGAAAACATTATTTTTAAGAGGTGAGGAATACCAAAGGGTTACGCATCCGGCCCTCGTTTGGGAATAACCAGCTGACGTTTACTATTCTTTTAAGTAGGACGTCTATCACATTGATTAGCTGAAGGAAGACATAACAGTGAAACGGACCCTCTGGACCTACACCATTTTTTAAAATCTCAGTTAATTAACTTGTTGCCAACTAATCGATGAGAAGTACACCCTTTTTTAACCTAACCACGGTGTGCACGTGGAGATTTCACGTAAGCGATAACCATACAAATAACCTGTTGATATCAGTGACGTATGTTCAAATCTATTCTTTCAATTCTAGCCTGAGTTTTATTGGTATCGAAACCCTAAAATAAATTGCGAGAATCCTGTCGGCAACTCACTGAAAAGAAAACCTCTAATACACGTGTAAATGTACAATGGAACCTCGATATAACGAACCTCAATATAACGAAGACCTCAGTATACCAAACTACTTTCTTTACCCTTGTAATAGTAAAATATGTGGAAAAGAACCTCGATATAACGAAACCTCGTTATAGCGACCAATTTTTTGCCAGTTCCTTGGCCCTTCGTTATATCGACGTTCCACTGTATTCTTTTTCACTTTGAAGTGAGCTTGAGAGGAAAAAGTCAACAAGCCATTCCTTTTTTAACGTGATCTTAAAACAACTTTCTAACAGGCGGCAGCTAGAACTAGGCCTCCCGCCTTAGCAAAAAATCGTTCTAAACCTCTAGTGCCTGAAATTGGAACTGTCAATACCACTTTCCACCAAACCAATTGATAAAACTGGTTAACTAAATTATAGAAAACAATTTTCGAGATCTTAGAGAACGAATTTAGTAACATTGACGTCTCCAATTTTGAAAACTCCATTTTTCAAAGCTTTAAAACAGAACAATGCCAATTACGCGTCTGCCTTGTCGCTGATCTATAAATCGCGCTCTTTTCTATGACTAATTAAAATGTGATTGAGTATAGATACGAACTAGACTGCATCTGGTTTTGTATTCTTTTTTTGTGTGTTTAATTTTTTTCTGTAATATTTCCCCGCGTTTCTTATGCCCGTCTCGACTAGCTCAGGAGCTAATAGCGGGCATAAAGCATTGTCTTACACAATTATTAAAAGATTTAAAGAAAGTTGTTGTTGTTATTATTTGTTGCTACTAAAAAATAACCTCCTCTTCACAAAGGGGATGCCTTACCTTCCCACGATTTATCCATTCTCTGACTCTCTCTATGGATTTCGTGACCTCCATATCACTTTTGTACCATGCCTCTAGTTCTTGCACATTTCATTCATCTTGTAAGAGGATCTGTCAAATATTAAGTAAGCAGTGGATACCAGATGTGCAGTTTTTCCCTTCTGGAACTGATTTTCCCAGCAATCCTCACAAGACCAGCTTCACTGATTTCATGCCAAAGTATTGAAAATTCATTATCTGCAATTGCCCTCTGTGTGTGATAGTCGTGTGTCTTCTGGTTTGGTGCTAGTGACACTTCAACTGTACGGTCCTGCCAAAAGACGAAATTCATAATAAAAAATTAATTGGATAAAAAGGCTTAAATAGTATGAAGATTTGGGTATGTCCGACGAGACTGAAACACCGTTCTCTTTCCCAACAAGACTTTGAAACAGAATGGCGTGAAATGATTTAATCTAAAGTTCACACTAGACTTGATTTGAAAATTCATACTCGTACTCATCAGTGATTTATCTCGCAGCACAGTCCAGTCTAAATCACTATAATAGTCTCTTGATAGTCTTTATCAACGAAAGAAAGCCAACTGCAACTAGGGTTTATCGCTTCATGCAAGGCATTGTAAAGAATGGTTTATTGCCCCCGCAGGGAGTTCGCCCAGAAGGCAAATCCCGAGGAGGCATCCTAGTAGCTCGCGCGTATATATGGAGAAGTTCTTACAGTTGAAATATACAGACGGTGTATACCAGAAAAAATCTCAATTTGCTTGATCAGGGGCCGCATGGAATCGTTAACTACATGTAATGATGACGTTTCCATTGTTTACGCCCGCAAGTAAGAGATGGTTAGGATAACGTAAAACTGAAAATCCCTGATGGGACCGCTTAGGTTGATTTTGTGACACAAACAAGCAAGACGAGTGAATCAACGTCCAGCTTATCACTGGCAGAACGATTGACGATTACAGAAACTCGCCGATCCAGTTTCGGTGCTGATGTATTCCCTGCTCACAAACGTCCTTCTATGACGTTTTTTTAAATAATGTCTTATTATAGTTAAAACTGAAACGACTAGAATGCGCGAGGGTGAATTGATCAAACCTTTTTATTTCTAAGGCTTACTTTCCGACTAATCAAAGGTAAAAGTTAAAGAGAAAGTGAAAAGAGAAAGAGCGAAAAATTCCGAGTAATATATCAAGCATGAGAC